AGAGAGAGAGAGAGAGAGAGAGAGAGAGAGAGAGAGAGAGAGTAAGGAGAGGAGGTGCCGAGCGCGCGTGAGCTGAGGGATCGGCCGCCGCATGGCAAGAAGACGGAGAGAGGTGGCCACCGAAGGAGGTGGAAAGAAGAGAGAAGGAAGGGAGCGAGAAGTCAAGGAGCCTTCATTCATTCACTTATTCGAGAGGTTTTCAGGTTGAGTTCAGGTTGAGATCAGGTGACCAGGGGGGAGAAAAAGACGAGATGGCGCAGTAGAGAAGAGGGCAGGAGGGTAAAGAGAAGGTGGCAGAGGGGGGAGCAATGAGATGGAGAAGAGTCGGAGGGTCTGATGAAGGTGCTGAGTGCAATTGCAGAGGGTTGGCGAGCGAGGGATGGGAGGGAAGGTGGTGAGGTAGGATGAGGCGAAGAACAGGAGGGCAGCTATGGTGGAGTGAGTGGAGGAGCGAGACAGCGCAGGGGATCAGATGCTGAGCAGGGTGGTACCACGGCGGGACGTCGAGGCGGTGGTTAAAGACAAAAGGAGTATCACTGGAGAAAGCTGGTCTGGTGGTCTGTTTGGAAAGGGAGTAGGACAAGGAGATGGCAGGATACGGAGAGGAGCTGGACAGGAAGCGAAGGAGGCAACAGGAGAGGCGGATGAAAAGAAGAGAGCCCAGCTAAGGTGCAGTGAGCCTGTCGGGAGAGGAAGTGGTGGACGGAAGTAAGGCGGAGGGGAGGGAAATGAGGTGGTGGGGAGTTTGATGCGTGGAAGGGAGGGAGGTAACGTAGTGTGTATAGGGCCACAATGGTCAGGTCGGGTTAGGAAGGTGTATGTTTTGTAAAGGGTTGGGTACGTCCCTGAAAAACGCCAGTAAGAGAATGTAAAAATTTGTGTCTGTTGCGAGAAGGTCTGTCACGCGAGAAAGGAGAGGGAGATGCCAGAGAGTAGAGACGGAGCGAGGAGAGGGAGGAATGGGGGATGAGATCAAGGTAGAGGGCGTGGAGGGGAGGGAGGAAAAAAGTAAAGGGCCGTAATGGTCAGGTCGGGCTAGAAAGGGATAGGTTTTTTAAAGGGTTGGGTACGTCCCTGAAAAACGCCAATTATATTGTGTAAAATTTTATGTATGTTGATAAGCGAGGAGTAGGTGTAAAGGTTTAGGACCGTTCCTTAAAAACGCCTTGCAAACCCTGCGGGGACAAGCAATAAAGAGATACATACATACATACATACATACATGCATATAATCATATAAGTTTAATTACATATAACCTAAACGAAAAGCGAAGGCACATCCGTACATACACGACACACGTATGCTATCGAGCATCCACGAGCGTCCGAATGTTTCCGAATCTAACCGAAGTTTGTCGAACTTACACTTAACTCCCGTCTCGCATGATCGTACGCCCCCTTGCCCACAGTAGCACTTTATGCTCGGTCTATATCTTCCTATGTCTGTGCTTCGGCCACTGGAGGGCCGTTTGCGTCCCAGTCTCTCCAGCCACTGAAGGCCCGTTCGCGTCCCGGTTGCTCCGTACCAAAAGGGTTTATCAAATAATATTAAATGATATTTATAAAATAAACTTATTAAATTTAAAAGATGTAAAATTAAATGTTATATTACACGATAATAATATGAATATTTATTTAATACTTACATAATGTGCAAGTTTAATCCTCTACTATATTGTTTGTTAAGAATTCTTTGCTGATTCAGTCCATAGTATTTTCATTGACCATCATACGTACTGCAGTAAAGTAAGAACAAGCTGTATACAGAAACTGCAATAAGAAATACAGTACTGGTTAAAAGTATTGCATCGCTTATTAAAAGGGAAATTGATACCCAATTTTGTTAGCGAAAGCTGCCTTTGGAAAGGCGGCTTTCGTCGGACCAAGCACAGTGCTACGGTATTCGCGGTGAACTAAGCTAAAGCAGCCACCACGAAGGGCCTTACGTTTTTCATAATCCGTATACACGGTTGCGACGATATTCGTTTTCCAATCGAGGCCACGCGGTTCTCCCGCGAATTACATCGCCGTTGCCTAATAGTAAAGTCGCAGTCCAATCGTGGAATCACTTAAAGGGATTGTCGCTCGCGGATCCCAAATATTATTTGCCCGGCAATATTGACATTTTACTAGGGGCAGAATTGTTTGTTTCAGTATTGCGTGATGGTCGTCGTAAAGGAGGAGATGAAGAACCGGACGCCTTCAACACAGTATTCGGCTGGTTCTTGAGCGCGGTATCTCCGTCGTTACAAGTAGCACCCCTGCACTCGTTCGCTACCACTCTCGAGTTGATCGAGACCGCAGTGGGTCAATTTTGGCAATTAGAAGAAGTACTGGAACATTTTTCTTGTTCGGAAGAAGATTGTCGATGTAAGGAGATCTTTGCAAAGACCACTTATCGTGACCACTCGGGTCGCTTCGTAGTTTCGTATCTTTTTGCGTCGGATCCTTCTACATTTGTTGATTCACGTTCTATAGCTGTTAGTCGTCTCCGCGCGCTCGAGCGCCGAATCAAATCAAATCCCAAATTTAGAATTAATTACAATAATTTCATGCACTATCTCAATAGCGGTCATATGGAATTAATTAGTGATCCATTCCAGTCGGATGGTTACATTTATTATTTGCCTCACCATGGCGTATACAAACTCGATAGCATTACCACCAAATTGCGGGTAGTGTTTAACGCCTTGTCAACGTGCCCAAACGGTCTACCGTTAAACGACACATTACTTAGTGGTCCGAAATTACAGCAGGACTTATTCGCAATCCTGCTTAGATTTCGCGCCGAACCGGTAGCTTTAACCGCGGATGTGAAGCAGATGTTTCATCAAATATGATAAACCCGGAGCAATGCGACTATCAACGCATTGTTTGGCGTTTCTCGGAGTCGGATTTTATCCTTGATTACCTTCTCAAGACGATTACGTTTGGCTTAACTTCTTCCCCGTTCTTGGCGATCTGTTGCTTGCTCCAGCTAGCTTTCGAATATCGCGAAAAATATCCCTTAGCCTTTGCTGCATTATTCGAGGCGCTTTATGTGGATAACGTCGTGGCTAGCGTTCGTACGGTGGAGCAGGCTCGTGCGCTTCGAGATCAATTGTTATTGCTACTCCGGAGCGCCGGCTTTGAACTTGGGAAATGGGCGAGTAGCCATCCTGCCGCGCTGGATGGGCTCGACCCGCAGTTATACAGCCAATCCATGTTATCGTTTGAGTCGAGCGAGGATCAATTACTTAAAGTCTTAGGCCTTCGTTGGCATTCGCAATCCGATAGTTTCGGATTTCAAGTTAATCCTTTGGATCGCAAATGTATTAAACGTACCATATTGTCGGAGGTAGCGCGTATTTTCGATTCCTTGGGATTCCTGGCTCCACTCACGTTTACCGCAAAATGTCTAATACAACGTTTGTGGACGCTGAAGTTGGGGTGGGATGACGAGCCTCCGATAGATATCTGTCGCAGTTGGGAACGCTATCAAGCTGAGTTCGATGCGTTGGCTTCTCTTCGCGTTTCTCGCACGTTTGATACGTGCAATGTAGTTCGTTACGAGCTTCATGGTTTTTGCGATGTCAGTGAGTTGAGTTACGGAGCCGTGATTTACTTACGCTTTGTTACGCGCGATGGTGTAGTAATTCGCTTAGGTTAGGTTAGGTGAAAGGGTGTGGTCATCTAGTGACCATTCACTCGGAGACCTGAGGTCCATTGTGATACCCTATTTTTAACCCTTGACCCGTCTTTACCACCTCGCGTTGAAACACTTCCAGTTCCGTGCGAAGCTCATTATATTGTCAATGCCCATCTCCGCTGCGTCTTCCAGTCCATCCAGAAATTCTTGTCCCATTGTCTGGAGGCGTCGGTTTTCTAGGGCTGGACACCAGCACATCAGATGCTCAATTGTTTCTTCTTCCTCGTTGCATTCTCTGCAGCTGCTGTCATCTGTGATTTTCCATTTCTGGAGGTTCACTCCGACCGCACAGTTTCCTGTGACGACTCCTGCTGCTATGCGAACCAGGTTCTTCTTGTGTTTCAATAGTTGCCTAGTCCTATTGTTATCTATCTTAGGCCAGAGATTTCGGGCTATCCCGCAATCATTCCGGTTTTGCCAAATCTCTCTGTGTTTCTCCAGTATAATTTCCTCTATGGCATCTTTTAGTGAACTGATCGGTGGTAGTGGGGAGTCCATTACCTCCGCGCCGTTCCCTCCCGCCCCCAGCTTCGCCAGTCTGTCCGCACCTATGTTCCCTACCACATTTTTGTGACCGGGAACCCAGCGCAGACCGACCCCGTCGCCGCGGAGCCAGGACAGCGCTTCTTGGCAACTCATCACTACCTTTGATCTCACTGTTTTTGATGCAATACTTCTGAGCGCAGCCTGACTGTCAGAGTAGATTGTGACATCCCTTAATGGTTTGCCACTCACCCAGATTAGCCTGGCTGCCTCCCTTATTGCACAGATTTCTGCCTGTATGGCGTGGCAACCGTTCTTTAGTCTGTATGACTTCTGGATGTTGAGCGCCTCAGAGTAGATTCCAATGCCTGCACCCGTTTTGGTTATGGAGGCATCGGTGTAGACTGATGTTTCGTGTTCGTTTATCACCGAGTTATCCTCCCATTCCTCCTTAGAGGGGATGCGTATGTTAACACACCCCTCGAAGTTATGCCTGGCAACTAAGTAGTCCGTTGGACTATTCAGGTTTAGTCCTTTGTTACTGTTCAGTTTTCCGATCTCCTCCAGTATTCTTGAATGTCCGAGTAATTCGCTTACTTTGCGCTAAATCTAAAGTAGCACCGCTTCGGTCTATTACAATACCTCGTTTGGAACTCTGTGCAGCTCTACTTCTCTCAAAATTGATCGCTTACGTTCGTCAAATCCTTCAGGGACATCTTAGCATTGATGCCGAATATGCCTGGTCAGATTTCTCTCACCTGGATTTGCTCGTCTCCACATCGGTGGAAGACGTTTGTTCGCAACCGCGTTGCCCGCATTCAGGACAACGTACGGGTCTCAGCTTGGGACCACGTCGACACCGAGTCCAATCCGGCGGATTATTGCTCCCGTGTACTTTTTCCCCGTGATTTAGTGACTAATTCGATTTGGTGGACTGGCCCTGCGTGGCTCAATGACACACTTTAACAACGATATCGGAAGTTGAAGATCTTCCTGAGGAGGAAGCGAAATCTCGCGCCTTTGTCACATAAATCCTGCTGATGCCACTATTGTGGATTCGGTTCTCGATCGCTTTTCGTCGTTAGATAAGCTCATCAAAGTATTCGCTTATTGTCTGCGCTTTGTGAATAAACTCAAATCAAATTCGCCCAATAGAACTCTCGTTGTAGGTCGAATTCCATTCGACCTTACTATTTCTCGTTAAATTTGTTCAATCTTGTTGTTTTGCAGAGGATATCAATAGATTAAAACGCAATCAGAATTACTCTAAACCTCTGCGAAAACTCGCCCCTTTCTTGGATACCCGCGGAGTCTTCAGGGTGGGCGATAGATTAATTCACTCCGTAATCTCGTATAAAGCCAAGCACCGAGCATTGTTACCTGGTAGACATTGGCTCACGGAACTTATAATAGAGCGCACCCGTCTACACCCGGGTCGTGACGGTATCTCTCGGGTCGCCACCGTGAGGACAGCGGTTGGCTCTCTCACTCGTCCTCTGATGAAATTGTGTTCCTTGCCGATGGACAATTCGTCAGAGGGGTAAAAAAAAAAAAAAAAAAAAAACATATTGTATTTTTGGTGGGCGGTATGTTTGGCGCTTGCCACTGTAAATAGTAAATATTAGTTTTGTCAGTATTAGTAGTATTAGTTATTAGTATTATCAGTAGTCAGTTTACTCGATACATTACCATAGTTTCGGTGACTCGCGCGAAACGTCGGCAGATCGCTCGGATCGTTATCGATACTTCCGCGACTCACCAATCGGTGCTGCCATCGTACACCCTACGAAAGCACTCGTCATGGAAAGGAAGAGCAAGTGTACTCGCTCGCGACACGAGTTTCAGGACTTGCTCGGCACTCATCGCAACGAAGTCTCGGGGTGCACATCTACACGTGCTCACTTGAACCTCCGGGAGGCCATTAGTGCTTGCTTCTCTGGAAGTGCGATCTCTGCCTGATCTTGCCTGCTTTGCCTGTCTTTGCCTGCTTTGCTTGTTTGCCTGCTTAGCTTGCTTTGGTCTCGGCTTGCTTGCGCCTGCTTTGCACGTGCCTGCTGACGAGCTTTGCCTTGAGAAGGACGAATCCCTCCAGGAGACGACGGCCGACCGAACGGTGAGTCGCTTGGTTTTGTTTGTTTCGCTTAAATCTCGCATTGAGAAGACGCAACACAACTCCTTTGGTCCTTCGAGTCATATAGCAATTTCGCAAACGAGGGGACGTACACACACCCCCTTTCAGACAGACAAAATAAAATGTTAAAACCGTCAATTCTCTGACGGTACTGACAAAATGAAATGCCAGAAGCGTCTATTCTGATGGTACTGATTATTAAAAATGTATCATTTGTAAATTACAATCGGAGAGACGGAAAAATATATTGGTTGCGTTTTCATGAGAATGGGCGTTGGAAGGGCTCATGCTACATTATTATAATAAAAATCAGAAGCGTCAATTTTGACCGTACTGATTATTATAAATGTATCATTTGTAAATTACAATAGGAGAGACGGAAAAATATATTGGTTGCGTTCTCACGGGAATGAGTGTTGGAGGGGCCCATTCTATTTTCTCAATATTCAAAACATATGGTTTTGTAACATTACTTTTGTACACTTAAGAAAAAATGTACTATAAATATATATCCAATATATGATATACATATATACTAGAAAAATATCCAATGCAATGTTACGGAATAATAGAAACGGGCTTCGGTTGTACGCGGTGCTCTTAGCGCACACGTACACGGCACGTACTTGTGTGCGGCACGAGAGTCATCCGTCACACACATGCTACCGAGGCCGTCGACACATTGCATGTGTGCAACGTATCATGTATTTTGAACACATGTTTTGAGATAGCCCGGCAATGTAGAAAACAGAGATTAGATGTGTCGATAATTATTTATCGACGTTTTTATAGTTTCGCTTACCATTAGATGATGACGCTATCCCGCCGAAGTTCGGCCGTCACTCCAGCATCCTCTTAAGAGCCTATTCACACGAGGCGGTTGTGACGCGCGGTTGCCGCGCGATTTTTGCCGCGCGTTAACGTTCGCACGAGCCGCGCGTGGCCGCGCGCTGTCGCGAGGCGAGGTGCGACAACGCGCGGATACGCGCGCACGCGGAACTACATACGAGCGACACGAGCAACGACAAAACAATTGACAACGCGTGCGATAAGTTTGATTAGGTTAATAACCTTGCTGTGTTTAGTTTCGGACTCTATTAAGATTAAATGGTGGAAGAACAAACGGTTTGAGAGATACCGAGCTATTTATTGACGAAATTGAGAAAAGACCGGCCATATGGAATATGAAGTGTCCTAATTATAGAGATCGAATAAAAAAGAAAAAATCTTGGGAAGAAATTGTTGAAATATTTAGTACTGCTGGAGACACCGAGGAACAAAAGAAATTGTTAGGTAAGTTGTTTATAACTTGTTTATTTCTTATAATGTACATATATCAATTCATATCATACTATCTTGCCATTCCAATTTACCTTCGTTGACAAAGTAATGTGCATATTTATCTCTCATAACCCTAGCAGATAAACTTTCTTGCGGTGTATTTTCTTCACTAAAGTTTATGAACGATGTTTCATTAAATAAATCTTCATGTCTATAACCGTCTCTGATTCTGACATAATTGTGTAGAACACAACATGCACGTACAATACTCTCTGCAAAGTCTATATTTACATTAAGAGGTTACACCACTGTAGCTGCCCATTTTCTTTGGTATTTTATTTTTAGAAAAGAATAAAATATATGGTCAAAAGAACTTTTAGGCTTTATTAGACATATATTATAGTATGTAAAAAAATTTTTTATTTGTTAAAAAAATACAAAATGGCGACGCACGAGTCGCTATAGCACTACTCCGCGGCATGCAGTATAAGTCCAACAATTTTCATTTTATTCACTCCAAATTTTGACCATATCTTTAAAATAACAATCCGAAAAGAAATACGTACGAGATTTTCGATAAGTTAATTCTAACCATTATTTATTAACAAATAATTGCCCCTTTTTTTGTCAAAAATTGAACTGTTTACTTCAAATGTTCGCCAATCACACAAAAATTAATATTTTCAAAATCCCCTACGTATTTCTCTAGCTATACTCATGTAGATTAAGAGAAAATTTTTTGTTTTTTTTTTAGATTCAAATTTGCGTCAGTTATACTGCGTGCCGCAGAGCGCGACATGCCTCGCGAGAATGGTTGCAGCGTCGCAATTTTGTACTATTATTGAATAAATATTTTTTTTTGAACACTTAAAAACATGATTAATTACATCCTTGAATATTATTATACTCTTACTTTTTCGTCCATCCAAAAAAAAAAAAATCGCAAAAAAAACGCTTTATTTTAGACTTCTACAGTGGTGTAACCCCTTAATGGGTTTATGAAAAATTTGCCACTTATTTGCCAGAATTTCAAAGCTACATTCAATGTACCGACGTGCTCTTGATAATCGATAGTTGAAAATTTTTTGTTCAGAACTTAGAAATTTTCCACTGTAAGGACGCATGACATTTTCTGAAATTCCAAATGCTTCATCTCCAACAAATACGTATGGCAAAGGTATTCTGTCAACATTGGATATAGCTTCTGGATTAGGGATATCTAATGTATGTTGCACGAGCTTTTTGTATAAAGATGAATTTTGGAATATTGCTGAATCGCTACTTTTTCCGTATGCCCCAATGTCCACATAAATAAAACAATAATTAGCATCACATACAGCTAATAGCACGGTAAAAAAGAAGTTCTTATAATTATAATATGAAGAACCTCTGTTATTAGGTTTTACTAATCTAATGTGCTTTCCGTCAATAGCACCTATGCAATGTGGAAAATTAGCATATTTCTTAAAACCTTTTGCAACTTCTTCCCATTTCTCTCTTGTCATTTGTGGCATACATATAGGTTTTAATTTTTCCCAAATTACTGCACACACTGTTTTAACTATAATCGTGATAGTAGACTTGCCCAATCGATACTGGTAATGCAACTCAGCAAAAGAGCAACTGAAAGCTAAATATCTGTAAGAAAGTAAATAATTTAAAAGTTTTAGCTAAAAAGGAATTTAGTACATAATTACGTAACTTTGAATATAATTGAAGCTAAAAGTTAATTTCTCCCTAACACATTATTTTTTCCATTATATCTATAAAATGATTGAATGTTAGAAGAATGTTAGATAGAAAGTTGTATTTACAATTAATTTCACAGCTTGTAATATATCTGTAACGTTTATAGATACTTTTTTAAAAACTAATATATATTTACACTAATTATATATTTTCAGTGTAAAATTGCAGAATAAATGGAAAAATATAAGGGATGGTTACTCAAAGAAATTAAAGAAGCTAAAAAATCGTCCATCAGGCTCAGGAGCGAAGAAACAGATTACAAACACCTATCACACAAGATTGCAAATTTTGGAAAAATCTGTTAGCCACAAAGAAACAACAAGCAATTTTGTTAGTGATGAAACTGAAACGATGTTACAGGAAAATGAAGATGATCCGAGTTGCCATAAAGAAACTGATCGTTCTCTGAAGACCAAAAAAATGAAATTAAATGCAACTGAAAAACATTTTTCAGACATTTTATAAAAGAGTTTGTTATCTAGGCAAAAACAAGAATAATCTTATGAAGATGAAGATAAACTGTTCTGTTTATCATTACACAAAGAACTGAAGAAAATACCTGGAGAACATCGACTAATGATAAAAATTAGCGTTATGGAAACTATCCAACGAGCACAGAATTTATATTTACCTAAACCGTCATTTACAGTTCAGTCGCAAATGCAACCTTCATACCCATCCAGTTATCCATATCCAAATATTCATTACAATGTAGGTAACACAATTGTTCCACTAAATAAAATTCCACCTTCATTGGCAACACCTCCACCGCCAACACCTCCACCGCCAATCTCGCCAGACAATATGACAAGTTCACTGCATCAAATTGCATCATCATCAACATCGCCTGTTTCATCGACAGATTATACAACAGTCCTTTCACCAGCAGTTGCCGGCTCCAGCTCACAATCAGACGTTATCGACCTTTTTTAATAATTTACCTAACAAAAAAAACTTATCGATCTCTTTTAATAATTTTCTTGATATATTGTCTTTAATTAATTGTAGCAAATCGTCAAAAAATTTGATAGACATTCTAAAATTTTTGTTCAAATTCTCTCAGTTTTGGATATAGATCCCTTGGATATAGATATGGATCCCTTAAAATAGGATCTACCCAGTATCGTCTTTGCTTTTATTTACGCCGTTTGTGACTATGAAAATAAATATGTTAATATGTGTTAAAGTAAGTCAGACATATTTTTATGTTCACGTTCCCTATGCGCATGCGCGCCTTCTGCGAAGCTTCCGTTTACCGGCCTGCGTGCCGTGCGTGGGTTAGTCGCTCACATACCAAGCCACGAGTTGGATGTTCAAATAAAACTTCTCTGTGTGTTAACCA